TTATCACAAGTATTTACAGGAGACCTTTCGGGAATGTCATGCATACAACAGACAAGGTTCAAGCACGGAAGCTTGGGACGGATACAACCAGGTGCGAGTCCTGCCATGAACTTTGGGCCAAGGTTGCCCAGAAGGACGAGTGAATGTCCTACCATCTGAAAAGGCCTAGTCGCGTAAACCAAACCCACATGCTTCCTACCGAGCTACAAGAACTGTTAGGTCAAACTTGTCGAACTACTCAACAATGAAATTGAAGAACCAAGCTTCTCACCCTGGAAAGCTCTAGTCTTATTCTTCAAATAGAAAGGCAAATTGCTCGTAATTCCATCGACTTCAGAGGCCCCGACAATATCTCCAGTAGAAACCTTTACTATCTACCTCGCATAGACGAAGAGACTGACCAACCACAAGGAACGAGGTACCCTTCAAGAATTGGACCTGAGATCTGAATATCACCAGTCGCGAGTATTGAAGAAGGATGTCTGAGGACAATCCTCAAATTTCGATGCAGACGCTGAAAGTTCGAAGTGATACCCCTCGGATAGGACCAGCCCACTCGTAGAATTCATGAACGTAATAAATAAGGTATGCCATTCTTACTAGGATCAGTTCGTCATTGTCATTATAAATGACTTGCTTATTTACCCTCATAGTTAGAAGGAAACCAAGGAGAGCAGCTACAACAAACCACGGAAGCAATACGATCAGAGAAGCATTACCCGAAGTTCTCTAGATACGAGTTTTGGAATTGAGGAGTCCAATTCCTAAGACACATCATTATCAAGGTGGAAACTCATAAGGACCCTTTCAATTGGTCAAAACCATTGAGAAACAGTCAGAATAAAAGACGTTGTGCAGGTTACCTCTAGTCATAGTATGGTTATAGCGACTCAGATAGGGAGCTAACATTACATAAAGTTTACGGGATTTTTATAAAACAAAAGGGGTTTTATGTCGATTTAAAATCACTTTTATATCACTAAGTACATATATTACTGTACACTCTCGGTTTAGGTATTTATAACTACACATCATTTGAAACCACTCTTATATCTTTAAGTATGACAAATACTTGTTTGTTTTCGATCCTGGTATTTAGGACCACATAACTTTTATAAGGAAAATATTGGATTTTTCTTGGTAACATACATCTCTATACAAAGATCGATTTTTAAACTCTTACTGTCAAAAGCTTATGAACTCACCAACATTTGTGTTGACACTTTTTCAAAACTACTTGTATTCTCAGGAATTCAGTGAAACAAGAAATCAACAACGTTTTGAGGATGGGATGATAATTCGTCAAACAGTTCATTTAGTATCATAATGTAATTGATTTGAATCATATAAACATATACTTTGGTGTAACTTTTCCAATTATATTTATGATGATTGTATTTACTTTGAGCACTATTATACTCATTGTTGTGATACTCTACATGAAATCCTCCACCCCCGAACGTTTCTGCCATCCTTGGTTTGGGGGTGTGATAGAATATATATTAAAATTCATACAAGTAAGAATGTTATAACAATTTACATAACAAATAATGTGTTCTTTTTTATCAGAACTAAATACAATATTCTGAGTTATCTGTGCCAAAAAATACAATATTTTCACTTTATAGATTTACAATTCAAACACCTAAGAAAATTAACAAGAGAAGAAACATCTTAAAAATTGGTTTATATAATCCCTAAATGAAAAGAACTCAAGTTAGAAATGACCAACTAAAAGACACAATTTAGCAAATGGTTTAAAGTTCTAAAAATCCACGCTAAAAAATAATAATCCACCAACTAAAAAATTCAATGTAGCCAAAATTTGGTTGCTATGAGTTGGTACTCTGACGATCAATTCCTAGCTTTAGTTGTTGATCTTTCATGGTCTAATCTTTGTCCCTTCTTCTTGTAGTTGACCATTTGTCAAACATCCTAAATTCTTGCATAATCTTCCGTCCAAAAGCATCCTTAACTGTCATAGAAATTGGCAAAGTTTTAAATAACATATACACACAGCTAACAGATTGAAATAGACATTGCAAACATTTAACCTTCATGTTTTTGTGGCTTATTTCTTTTAAAAGATGGATAAATTCAACTAAATGCACCTTACGCTAAACCTGTAATCATTTTGTCGCTAACCCATATGGTTCTTAAGGAAGAATAGAAGGATTAAGAGCCATATGATGATAGCAATAACAAGGACGAAATAGATAGAAAACAGATAAACATTAATAATCAGTAATAAAAAAAAAATTGACAATTAATGAAAATTGAGGCTCACGTAGAAAACAAGGAATTCATGCGGTGGGTTTATAATTTAAAGCAAAACAACAGCGTATAAAGGTTCCACACCTAAGGTTACATGTATTACAGCTTTTTACTCACTTATATATATATATATATATATATATATATATATATATATATATATATATATATATATATATATATATATATATATATATATATATATACTAGTTTACAAGCCGTGAGAACCACGGTTATAAAACTAATTAAACTTTCATATTAAAAATCAAAATTAATAAGCAATTATTTTAAATAAATTTATTACTTAGAGATATTTTTTAATTATATAAAATTATAAGCGTTGATTTAAATAACTACATGAAATTATATCGCTTTATAATGTATATTAATTAATTTTTTTTTTTAAATCTGATGTTATTAATTTAATATAATTAGAGTAAAAATTTAAAATTTGAAATTTAAAATTGATAATTAATTAATCAATTAATAATCTAATGTAATTAGAGTGAAAAATTCAAAATTTAAAATTGATAATTAATAGGTTGATAAATAGCATGAAGGAGAGGTCAGTGGTTCAAGTTTCGGTGGAGACATAGGTGGTTATTTAGGAGTAAATTATAGTTACTTTTCTGTTTCAAAAAAAAAATTTATTTTAATAAATGAAGGTTTTTTTTTACCAAATGTCACACTCTCATTTAATTTGTCAAATGTCGTGTTATGGTTATTTTGAATTAATTTATTTTCCACATGTCATTTTATAAGTTTTTACATTTTAATAAATTTCACATAATAGTTTAATGTAATAATTACAATAAATGTAGTAATAAATGAATATTAATTTCATTAATATTTATACTCTTATTTCAAAATTCTCAAATTAAAGCTCATTAATTTATTTTTGTTTATTTAGTTAAATTTAAATGATAAAAAAGATCAATTTTAATAATTCATTATTTTTTATACTTTCTTATAAATCCAAATTGTTTAAATATTAAGACATTTATATTTAACTAGTTTATAACTCGCAGGAACCACGGTTAAAAATTAATTAAACTTTCTAAGTCAAAAACTCAAAACTATATATTAATTAATAATTTTAAATAACTTATTAATTAAAATATATTTTTTTAGTTGTATATAAAATTATAATCGTTGATTCAAATAAATATGTAAAATATATCGTCTTATAAATTTTTATATCTTAATAAATTTCACATATTAGTTTAATGTAATAATTACAATAAATGTAGTAATAAATGAATATTAATTTCATTAATATTTATACTCTTATTTCAAAATTCTCAAATTAAAGCTCATTAATTTATTTTTGTTTATTTAGTTAAATTTAAATGATAAAAAAGATCAATTTTAATAATTCATTAGTTTTTATATTTTCTTATAAATCCAAATTTTTTAAATATTAAGATATTTATATTTAACTAGTTTATAACTCGTAGGAACCACGGTTAAAAATTAATTAAACTTTCTAAGTCAAAAACTCAAAACTATATATTAATTGACAATTTTAAATAACTTATTAATTAAAATATATTGTTTTAGTTATATATAAAATTATAATCGTTGATTCAAATAAATATGTAAAATATATCATCTTATAATTTGTATAAATTTTATTTTATTATAATTGGTATAAATTTTATTTTATTTTTATTATAATATTATTAATTTAATGTAATTAAAACGTAATTTAAATTTTGAAATTTAAAATTTAAAATTGAGAATTAATAGATTGACAAATATTATATTGTTAATTACAAGTGTCAATATATTAACAAGTATCATGATATTAATTACAATGCCTAACATGATGACAAATAATAAAAGAATTACTCTTTTATTAGTATAGAAAGATTTTTTTAATTAACTCATGTAATACATGAGTTTTACACATAATACAATATTAATGATATTTTCTAACAGTATGATACTTAGTAATAGGAAAACAAACCTATTCAATTATATATATATATATATATATATATATATATATATATATATATATATATATATATATATATATATGTGTGTGTGTTTGAGTTAATAACCATCACAATATATATATATATATATATATATATATATATATATATATATATATATATATATATATATATATATATATATATATATATATATATCAAACAAAAAACCGTAACAATTGATAATTTTGTCAGAATTATCGACTACGACTATTTGCTAGTATTAATCACAACAGGTATATAAAACTGCTCCTAAACATGTGAACATGATTTGCAATGCTGACGTTTATTTAGCAAATATGTGACAACAAAACATTATTGGATTTTGTTAATAATCTTTAGTGGGCGCAACAACTAATAAAACCATGACAATCGTGTTCCCAAAACGTGTAAAAGTCATTTTTGTACCGGTGTAACTTCTCCATGATTAGTTTAATACACTTATATATAATCCGTATGTCGATGTACATAACAACAAATAAATAAAAGACACATAAGAGAGCATCATGAAATTTGTTGCAGTGGACTACCACTCACCAACCTACGCTATGGTTATTTCATGACAGCTCATATTAGGTCAACGTAGAAAGGAGTAATAAATGTTGAAGCTATACTTTTGATATACAAAACAAACAATTTGCTAATTGTTGAAACGTTGAAACCAATATTGAAACACTAAGACTTCCATAACAATGCAAATTGAAACTTGGTCTTCTACAATAAATAATAAAAGTTAAATTATTTATTCATATAATCAACCATACACCATACAATCATTCAGTCTGTTCAAAACCAAGAAAACACATACAAACAAACAAACCATAAATATCTTCAACTTTTGAACCAATAAAAAGAACCACATAAACATCATCGTCGAAAACTTAAACACAAGATACCAATGTTGTAAACTACTCATCCTTCCCAAGAAGTGCGAGAAGGAATCGCTTGTAATGCCCTGAAGTTTCCTTTGCAATAACCTGATCAAGTGGCACACTGTTCCTCTTGTGATATTGGTCCATGATAACCTTTAGGTCTTTTTCAGCTCGTGTAACGATCACCCGAGTTAGTGCGTCCTCGTTAGTCCCACTCTTTTTAACAGCATTACGGATCACCTACACGATGGCGTATGTGCAATAGGAATAAATTGTATTACACAAGTGATAATATTGGTAGTTTGTCGTTGTCTAGTATATATATGTTTTTGTGTAATTTTTTTTTTAAATATACTTTAATAAATCATTTTAGAGAATGAAAATGACCGATAGCACTAGTCCACGTGTGTGATGGATTAGTGGTGTCAAAAAAAGTGAATAACAAAGCTAACCTTTTCAAAGTATTTAATCGGATCACTCATGCATCTAATCGTGGTACGTAGTGTTTCTGTATACTCATTGGCTCGATCATCCTTTAAATGCTGTAATTAGCAAAAAAAACATTGAATTTTCATAAGATCGATGTTTTTTAATAAGAATAATTAAAAAACCATATCTGATTAATGGAATTTCCGTACCTTGGTCATATTGCAACCATGTTCATCTTTGTAGTGATTCAAAGTAGCCATGAGTTGTGGCTTGCTCCTTGTAGTGATAATTCGGAGGATTTCTTCATGGTTAAATTTTTTCTCTTCAATGGCATTACGAAGAATGCTCGACTCAGAGTTTGCCAATTTCAAGCTCACTTCATCACCTTGATACCTATGTATGCTCACTAAACCTACAAGTAACTGTACCAATATAAATTTCATGTGTTAGATGTGCTTCTTGTTTATTTAATGGCCATATCGGAGACCCGATTTAATGTTTTTGCATCGTTTTTAATAGAGATAAAACAACCATAATAGAGAAATTCAGAAAAATAATGTTTTCATTAACGATCGGGACGATTAGAAATGGATTTTACTAAAACGAAATTAGGCCAATTCGTTGTTTGACTTTCTGAAAGTCGATACGTTCGATGATTTTTTTTTTAGGTCTTTTGGGTTTTGACAATTTTGTTATAACTTTTAGGGTTTTTTATATTTAAATTTTCAATCAAAAACGTACAAACATGTTTTTTTGGAACGGCCGGTAAAAACATATGTTCTTTTATATTCATTTTCAAAATAATTAACTTACACATAAAACCACTTTGTTTTAAGTTTGTGGTTTAATTTGTTTTTAGTTTTTTTTATATGTAAAGAAAGCAACCGATCGAATCATATATGTGGTTTTCAAAAACAAAAACAAAAAAAGCTGTTGATTCTTTCAAAAAGGTTTGGTTTTTTTGTTACGAATTTCATTTTTCAGGTTTTTTACACACCCTTAGTTTAATTACCACCATTAAGCATTCTTTGAACATAATTAAGTTTACCCAAATTAACAACACTTAATAGAAGGACTCACCTTTCGGAGATCATCAGATGTATGGGAAGCAATATCTTCTTCCAAAGAACGCTTGTAGCGACATTGATAGGCTCGCTTGACATCAAAAAGCTCCTCCGGAGAAAGAGTGCACGACAGTTCAATGAACACTCGATGATCTCGGTGTTCCTTCCGAAGAGCTACATTTGCTAGCACTGCATTCCGATCCGCAGGGTCCAAATTCCATCTGTACACCGCTCTCTACATACATCCATAAACCCATACACACATTTTATTCAAAAGATTACACCCAAAAACTGCAACAAGAACGTAAAAAACTGTAGAAGAACATCAAGAATACCTCAAGATCACCAGATAGCTCATGTTCAAGTCGCTTGACAAGATCCTCACCATACATATCTTTATAAGCTTCCCTTATCAGTTTCCTTTGAGGTGCATTTCGATGAGCCAGAATCGATATTACAGCCTTTTCATCGGTTCCCCATCCTGTTCATGTAAATATAGAAAATATATAGATAACCAAGAAGATTAATAAATGTAAGTTGTAGTAGGAAGAAAGCTTAGAGAGTTAAGAGGTAGAACCATGGCAGGCCTTTTTTAGAAGTTCAGCATCGACACCAGGATAAGCGTCTTCAACAGTTACGATGGTCGCCATGGCTTTCTTTGTATTAGGGTCTTGAGGAATACCAATGGATTTATAGGGAAATGAAGTTGAAAGTAACGCCCATTCTACATTCTTTGCTTTGGGTTCTTCGCTTGTTGTTTTCTACTTTCAAAATGTTGAATTATTAGGCAAAAGTTCAAAATTATTTAAGAAAGGTAGGTAGAGTTATTAGGCAAAGAATGGTATCATACTCCCTTATTTTACTACACTTTTACTACACTCATACACTTCCATATAGAAATCACAAACATCTTTTATCATAAAAATATGTTTTTTTGCCGTACCTAAGAAGTGGTGTCATATTTATTTTTTATTATTTTTTATAGTAAATAAAAACATCAATTTTAATTAAAAACTTAATATTTTATTAATTAAAAATAAAACTGATTATATTGCATAACATAACATCACATTTAAAAAAAATCCTAAGAATATTTAAAAAAAAAATTCCTACAGCCGATTTGTTTCATCACTTACTTGGACAAATATAAGCCCAAAAATTCAATCTTATCCTATTTTGGTTAATATGCTAGGAATAATAAAAATTAACAAAAAGAACCAAAGAACAAAAAGAAATTAAAAAGGAAAAAAACAAAATCCGCAAAATAAACACTCCTTTGGATTTATATCATTTGAGGGTTTTATAGCCCAACAAAATGTTTAAACCAGCCTATGGATGAGAAATAACCAGAGAAATGTGCGGTAGGAGAAAATCGTGGATAGGGGCAGTGCAGTTCAAACCGCACACAAGGGACGGTGTGCTGCATGCTGAGGTAGCCAAACCGTGGGTGCTACTGCATCCACTCCCTCTCGTCTTATAGTAACTAGATTATAACCCGCGTTAAATGCGGGGGAACGTATTAAAAAAATTACCAAAACATTTATATATATTGCATAATAATTATAAAAGAATGTTTATGGCTATTGTTATTATTGAAAGGTGAAGAAGAAACACTGAAATCAATAAATAACTATAAACGTTGCATGATCTTTTGTAGACAACGTTTTTTGTTTTATTAGTTGAGCGACATTCCCCGTCACATATGAGTACCTTCAATTGTTTTTTGTTTGTTACACAAGAAACAACTACATACAACTGACTATGGGTGAAGACAGGTCTACACAAGTATAATCCAACATTTGATAATGACTGTCCCTGACTTTTGTTAATGGCCATAGCGAAACAAACTGCTATTAGGAATTTCCTACATTGAAAACATAATGGAATTTTTTATCAGATGAGGTCAATTTCATGCGAGACATATAAGTAGTCTCGTTGAAAAATCTACCAGATATGATTTGTGCTTCAATGACATGTCTTCCAAGCCTTATGATTTTTAACTTGGTACCATTGCATAGCCCTCTGGTTTGGTCGATATTACAAAGCAACATGACCGGAACACCTTTTTTAGTATAAGTTTATGGTTGGGAATTCTGGAGGCCTTAAAAGCATTCAACACATCCAGAGAGTATACTGATTCCTCAAAAGAATCTTCTGTCTCGATCTCACATAAGGAATCTGATCTCAGATATGTTTTCCCTTCATCTTTCATCAATTCTAACATGTAGTCGTTGATAACATTAACTTCATCATTAGTAGGGACCAAAATAGTTTTATCTTGAAAATACGATAGATCATCAAGATTGTTCTGAAAAGATGAATAAATGCATGATACAATTGAATGAATATGGTCACCCGTAGAGGGAACGATCACATCTTCTGGAAATTTAACTTCAACTTCACCATCATTAGAACCATCGATAGTACTTTCACCAATTTTAAGAATCCAATTAGCAAATGATTTTGTCTCTTCGAAATCATTGTTCGGACAACCGAACTAAAGTCTCATGTTCTTAGGAAGGATAATATCTCTAAGTTTCAGATCAGCTGCTTCGAAAACAATGACAATGCATCATTAAGGCTTCGTCCAAAATTATAAGGCTCGCTTTCTTCAACAGGGCAGCTACATCGTTACCTGGCATAATAGAACAAAACGATTTCTCATTCAAGTTGATTGGTATATTAAATCTTGAATACGCTGTCCTACCACCAAAAAGAAAAAGCATCAATGATAAATACCAAATAATCATAACTGCTAAATTTATTCAAGTTTTTCCATTTTAGGAATCTTAAGGGTATGAGGAGCAACATCATCTTTTGAGGAAGATCATTCAAACGATTTAGTGGTGGTAAGAATCTCAATAGGGCATTTCAGTGAAGTAGTTGTCGGTGTTACCGCATCAAGATCAACAACATTAATATTGTTACCTTTAACAGAAACACTCTTTTCCTGTATCAAATTAATAAAACAATGTTAATTAACAACATTAAGATTGTCACCGCATCAAGAATAAATGTTTATTAACAATGTTAAAATGTTACATTATATGAATTTAATTTTACCTTAATAGACTTGTTGATATGAGTACCATCATAATGAATAATGTTTTCTTCGTATGCAGGTGAATTTTTGAAAACTGCACCAACTATAAGTGATGGGTTTTGGTCATAAGACATCCTATGTGCTCATACAAACCTTAATGCTTGGATCTAGGTTTCTCTATTGTACATGCTTTGAATCCAAGACTACAAACCCTAATTCTAGCATACATATAATCATATTAACATGAGAATAAGTTTATAGTGTTACCTTGATTGTTATGTAGCGATAACAATCCCAAATCTCCTTGTATTGACTTCGGAAGGCTTAGAGTCACAAGTGTCACTCCTCTAATGGCTTACAAACACCAAGAGCAAATGGAGAAGGTATAAGGAGAGAGGAGAGGTATGAGAATTCGTCTCTAGGACCTCTTGGGAAGGGATTCACGAATTCATGAGCCAAGGGGTGTTTATATAGGTGTAGAGATAGGGTTTCAGTCATTATCCTTATCTAGTTGCTTATCCACAAAGCAACCCATAAGATAATCCTTGAATCCTTATCATAGTCGAATTCTAAGGCCTTATCACCTCAAATTCGTTCACCATATATTTAAGATAATCCTTACCTTATTTTGTAACTATCACATAATTACAAATCAGCCCCTCTAGTTTAATTAATTACACTTGATCACAAAATTAATTCCTAATTAATTATTAACCAATATTAATTAAACAAATATGATTTCTCCTTTAATATATTATTCTTATAACATATTAATAAATCATAATATCCTCTCTCTCTTTATTTATTTCTCCAATCAAGTTGCTTTGGTGAAGGCAACCCAAAAGGACCATGCACCATCGGGTCAAGTACATACCAAAATAGTTATGGACTTAGACACTAATCCAGCAGTCTCCCACTTGGATTAGTCTAACAATTATTCTGCGTATGACTTCAGATTCTGATCTGCAATCGTAGCTTTCCAAAGCCGCTGTCAACTCTGATCCTATCAGATACCCGTGTCCTTACATAAGGGATCATGTATTCCTCTATTCTAGATATCGTCTGAGATATGATTTCAAACCATTCTCTTTGTACTATATCTCGATTTCCGATTTATGACGACTGAGTAATTGAACAAATAAAATTAGCCCTAGCCCAGCCGAGCATTTACGTTTGTCATCACTAAACCATCGAGGGGCCCAAAGATATCGCTTTTATTCTTTGAATAAAAGGAACGGATAAACTTTGATACAATGCTTGCTTGCACTCACTCACCGAATCACACACAACAATATGTTTTATAACACCAAGTTACTAGTGCGTTTTCATATTATCAATGTGCAACCGATTCGCAAGATACAACTCACACATCTCAGTTTCAAGAATATAAGATGTTATCGTCTCACCAATCACTCGTAATACAATTCATGGAGTGATCCAAGTGAGCATGGGTTTAATCCAATGCTCAAATCATATTCATAAGCACTCATGAACATTGCAGCAAACATTTGCTTATGTCTAATACTCTTTTAGACAATCCACACACCAATTCACGACAATCTTCATTCATATCTACTTCCAACATATGAATGATTGGGGCCCGTTCGAATAATTCGATTATTCTTAATAAACTCAATTATTCTGGACGTCAAAACATGCAAATGTGAAACACAAGAATAATACTAATCCCATATGGCCTCAAACCTTTGAGTATAAATAAAACGCCTTTTATTTATCACCATATTGATTACTCATTATTTGTCGTTTCAGGTAATCAACTTCTTACTTGAATTCCAACACTTGTCCCATGCTCCTAGCATGCATACAATGTTTACCTATGGTTCTTACTTTTGTGAAATAGACAAATTGAACACATTTCCAATCATTCTCATTTTACAACTCCAAATCCTTTTTCATAAGTGTAAGAATATCAAATTCTTGCTACTTATAGAATATGCTAGATTCTAACACTTTATGCAACGATCCTTTCGTAATGTCACTGCACCAAAGTCACAAAGACTATTGCCAATGATATTACAAAGTCCTCTATCGGAGATTGTTACAAGACAATTCCTTAGATATGATGTCTCTCTCTCAAAGTACATTCCTTTGAACATCCTTTTGCATAAAAGCTTCTAATCTAGACATAGATTTTCAATATTTACTTCCTAATATGAACACGCTTCCATATTTTCCTCATGACAACTCATTTTTTAATAGAATCTTTTCTATTCATCATAATATCAATATGGTCCATTAATACCATGCTTCCAACTACTCACAAGCAACCAATCCTCGTCGAACTTTGGATTGTTCTTTGATAGTTGTTTAATTATTTTAGTCAAAACCGATTCTAGTCTCTTTTCCCTCTAAATGCGCTAGACATTTGGAAAATTTTAGAATGGTCATACATTAAAGCATTTGCAATCGATCTTATACCCGAAGCGTATGGGACACGATGCACAATGTTTTATTTGCTATGTTCTCAAAATTCGAATTGTGAAAAGGAATGTCGTAATCATAAACGAAATTTTAAGAACACACTATGTTTCTTTCACTAAGTTATTAACATTCCACAACCTAATCCTTTAGATTTGAAATGAAGCATAATATTCTCTCCCTTAATTATAGCAAAACAACTTTACAACCCCTATGACTTTGCAAGGTATAACTCTTGTTTTCTATAATTAATATTGCCAACTTGCAAAACTTTCCATAATAATCATACACTCATAACATTTATGCTCCCACTATTATGATGATTACTATAAAACATAACACTTATGCTCCCACTAGCTTCGACATGTATTCATAAACATCTTAACTTTCAGAAAGACAATACATATTGAATTTCTTAAGTCCATGTTTCTAATACTTAGTGCTTTGATAATCTTTTATCAATGCTTCTTGGACACATACACCTTTGCCTTAGATAGTTCATATGTGTGTCTTAACAATTAAGACTAATTGCCAAACCTCACAATTCAAATTATGGAAAGGGATACCGTAACCATGATCGAATTCGAGAATGCAATTTTACAATCACTATCTTCTTAAAATCTTTCTTAGTGAAAGCATTTCCTCACAATCATTTTCATGAAGGAGGAAATCTTATGACACTTAGATTTAAATGGTGTATTTGTTCCTATCCATGTGAATTTGTTAAAACCAAAGTTTACGACAAATTCAAACTCATATGGACCGAGCCTTTTTTAATCCTGATTTCTTGCCTTATGGTAGCACAGCTGCCCACCACGTCTTCTAAGTAGTTAAGCAGCTCACCTTTTCCTATTAATGTACCTTTCATTGATTAAGGTGCCTTGCCTTTTATGCGTTCAAGATGAGAACTCATAGGACTCACATGCATAATTAACTCAATTGGAACAGCACAGAATCAAAATATTGTCAACACGATAGGTTGTAAACCTCAACTCGTGTGCTAGTGATGATCGATAAGGTTTATTTGATTTGTTCTTGAAACCTTTCCAGACCAATAAGACTCCCACTGACTCCTTGACATATAAGATTCTTTTGTCAATAAACATTTCTTGACAAACAAATATTCAAGAGTTAGTGTAGTTTTTATCAAAACACTTCATAAATTGGTCCTAGTCGATCTTTGTCTTATTCAAGACATCACAACTTTCCACATTTGATGAATGTTATAAACATTTAATACTTTTCACTCATTGTCACAATCTTAACTTTAAGACTTGTTATTGGAACGAAGTATGATAGACTTCTTGATTTAACCATTTCTTCAATCCTTGATTCCTCTTCTTAAGCATACAATTGTACTAAGACTCACTTAGAGGATCAATTGAGATATGGTTTGTAATCATTAAGACCTATCATAAAGCATAAAAGGTACTCTCCCTTCTTCTTAGAATGGAGAAACTTTTATCTTTCTTCCTACTTGACTCTTCTTATTCGTTCTGCTATTGATTTAAACATCTTCAATCAATTCAGAATTACACTTAATCTTATAAGCATAATCATATTTACTATATTTACTAATGTTATTCGTTCTGCTATTGATTTAAACATCTTCAATCAATTCAGAATTACACTTAATCTTATAAGCATAATCATATTTACTAATGTAACACCCCCCCCCCTCTGGCACGTATCACAATATTGTCCGCTTTGGGCCACTCGGCACGAGGACTTCCCAGGGGGTCACCCATCCCGATACTACTCCCGCCCGAGCACGCTTAACTGCAGAGTTCTTATGGGATCTGCTGCCCTCACGGCTTTAAAACGCGTTGTGATAGGGAAGGTATCCACACCCCTTATATGGAATGCTTAGTTCTCCTTCCAGCCGATGTGGGATCAGATCTAACCCACTTTCACCCCCCATTATAGGGTTCGACGTCCCCGTCGAACACATCGACCTGTGCCCTAGCTTTAATACCATTTGTAACACCCCCCTCTGGCACGTATCACAATATTGTCCGCTTTGGGCCACTCGGCACGAGGACTTCCCAGGGGGTCACCCATCCCGGTACTACTCCCGCCCGAGCACGCTTAACTGCAGAGTTCTTATGGGATCTGCTGCCCTTACGGCTTATGAAAATGTTTGGGTAAAACACGGGTAGATGTAATAATAATAATAGCTAGACTATTAATTAGTCTCGGCGAATACTTGGGCTATTATTATGGGTTATGAACTTATAATAAATACTTGGGCTATTATTATGGGTTATATAAGTATTTTTTAACGCTTATATAACAATAATAATAGCTAGACTATTAATTAGTCTCGGCGAATAATAGACTAAACTCTAGTGGTAATAATACTAGGTTTCGTCAAAGAAAATTCTATTTAAGAAGCGAAGCGTTGTCTGAGTTCGGAATCACCACCTTTTCAAGTGAGTGCATAGTTACTTTCAACTTACACATAGATATGAAGTATTTTATATAAATTACGTGCTATGTGTGCATATTATCTGAATACTTGCTATCTATGCTAGATGAACGTTGTTATACATGTTTTCAATGATTTAAACTGTATATGTATTTTATATCTACGAAAATGTTGGGGTAAAACACGGGTAGATGTAATAGGTGATGTGTGATAAAATGATGAGAGGCCTCAATGTTGTTGTTGTTGATCCAGTCATCTAGCGGAGTA